GAAGAAGAAGAAGAAGAAGAAGAAGAAGAAGAAGAAGAAGAAGAAGAAGAAGAAGAAGAGGAAGAAGAAGAAGGAAGAAAACAGAAATAAGGGAATAAGGGGCTGGAGAGATGGCAAAACTGAACACACATGCCTTAGGAGATTGCTGTAAGAACTGACATAATATATATGAATATTCATTAGGCTATAATTTGTATTTGTATTAAACATCATGATTGTGTAAGTGTGAAGAAGAATATAAGAATGTACAGTTATTCAGAGAAGACGTCTTCAAAAACAGGCAATGTCGGAGGAGAATGTGAACATGGAAAGCATGCCAAGAAGAAGGGATACGACACAGGAACGCCATTTAGAACAAAAGACTAAGGGGAGTGGATTTCCCACTAAGGAGAGACAGTTATGTAAGAGCTCTGGGTTCAGTGAGGCTGTGTGCTGGCTCTGTCCGGTAAAGTCTGGAAGTAGTTTGAATAATGATGAAAGATCATAACCCAGCACTTCTTCTGGACCCTGGTTCTGTCCCATGAAGGGTAGGCAGATTGACTGTAAGAAAAGTCGGGCCCAGAGATACAAGTTTTCTTTCTTGGGACACACAGCAGAGCTGGGTTGACACCCAGATTTCCCGGTGTCCGCTCCAAACCAAACTGCTCAGTATTCCCACGATTCCTCTCTGGGTGTCTCCTGGATTGTCATTTCCACTGCACAAGGACTCCATCAGGGTCACATCTGCGTTATGTTCCACATAGTGTGCCATGCAAAAGAAACGCTTTTCTGGTGATGTTAATGACCTCAACATCAACAATTAACCTGTCCCAGAGAACAAATGTGCCTGTGGTGATTGGTGGCCTGTCCGGCCCTTTCTGTACACTCCTAGAAAGAACCGAACCCTGTTGCCTTGGCAACTCTGTTTAGAGACCTGATCATTTGAGAATTTGCCCGGCTTGGGGGGGAAAGAAGACAAACAGGTATGGAGCCTCTTTGCCATCTAGCCTTGGGGGCTTTCTGGACCCCACTCCTGCTGGCATTGCGGTCTCATCCCCCACCTACCTGGATGTAGGTCCCTTCGTAATCAAAGAAAAGAAGCGGCCACGTGATGCTGATGATGGAGGGAAAGAGCCTCTTTAGAGGGGCCTGAGGAGGAAGAGATAAACGGGTGGTGTGCTCCAGAAGGCCTGGCTGGACCACTCCCAGATCTTCTCCCCATTGCTGGACACTCACTGGCCAGGACTGTCCCACAGTGCTGTGCACCAGGGCCTGGATGTTCGTGGTCTTCTCTCTCACCTGCTCCACCAACGCCTGGACCTCTGTGAGGTTATCTGCATGGGACAGGAGGCACCCGAGTTAAAAGGCCGGGCTATGAAGCTGTTCTTCCTGCCACCCTGGGGTCCTGCTGGGACGCTCACTCTGTCCCTATGTGTTGGGTAGTTTTGTGTCAACCTGACCCAAGCCAGAATCATGTGGGAAAAGGGAACTTCTGTTGAGAAAATGTCCCCACCAGATTGGCCTGTGGCCCATTTTCTTGATTATTGATGGGCCCAGCTCCCTATGGACGGTGCTAGCCCTGGGCTGGTGGTCCTGAGTGCCATAAGAAAGCAGACTGGGCAAGTTATGAGGGGCAAGACAGTAAGTAGCGTTCGTCCATGGCTTCTGCTCTGGTTCCCGCCCTGAAGTCCCTCAGTGATAGACTTATAAACTGTAAGGTTAAAAAAAGAAAAAGGAAAAAAACCTTCCCTACCCAAGCTGCTTTTGGTCACGGTGTTTTGAGACATCCTCCTCTGATGAGGCACCCCAAGACTCAAAACGGCAGCTCCTCTGAACCCCCGCTGCTTCCAACACCCCCCCCCCATTTCCATTTTCCCTCTCACCATCCAGGGTGAAAATGAAGACCACAGTGTCAATTTCCACGAGGGATGGCAAGATGGAAGTCAGGAAGTCATCCTGGGAGAAGGTGAACTGGGGACCCTGGGACAGAAGAAGATAGGCGAGTTCCTCCCAGTAGGACACTCAAGAGCATAGACTTGACTGAGGGGGACCTTAGGGGACGTCTAATGCAGCCCTTCTGACTTCACTTGGAAAAAAAAATCAGTGTTCAAAATGGTAGCATTTTACCAAAGGTGAACGAAAGCCAAGTGGTGGAGGGTCAATCCAGAGTCTTCCGTACTCACTGCTTTGAGGCTCCGTGACCTCTGACCTACATTGACTGTTTATCCCCTCATCCTCCCTCACCCCCAGGCTCCACTCCCACACTGCCCTCTGAACACCAACGAGCCCCAAAACTTCCCAAGGCCTGTCCTCTTCCAACCTGGTTGGTGAGCTCTGCCTTCTGGTTAAACATGTCATTGTGATCACCGATGAGAAAGCCACGGACGTCTTGGAAATCTGGGACGTTTAAGATCAGAGAGAAAAGAATGGCGGGCTTTGGGAGATAGGACTAAGGCTCTGCTGAAGGGTCTGTCATGGGGTCGGGAAGTGGGACGCGGGGTGAGCGGTAATCTGGGGGGGAAGCTATAGTCCAAGCACTGAGGTGGGAGCTGAGAGGTCAAGGACGAGGTGGAATTTGGTGCTTCAAATGGAAAAAGCATTTGACTGAAATGCCTCTTTATGGAAAGCACTGGAGAAGCAACCTCAGGGGTCTGCAGGAAAACGCTTTGATAGGGGACCAATTGGCTGGGATACTTGAAAAGAGCATCAGGACTAGGGCCTACCAGCACCAAAGGTGTGGATGCATTCCACTCCATCCATGATGGCAATGATGCCAAGGGTCTGCCAGCCAACTAGGTACACTCGACCTTTCTTCTCCAGGCTGAGAGTGAGTCAGAGGCCAGGACACACATGATCACCATGAACAACCCAAGAGGAAACACCCAAGGCCTTCCAGCACGTGGACCCATCCATCACTCTTATTAACACATCCCTCAGACCGTGCCCTGCTCTCAAGATGTCCTCTACAAACGCACAGCCACACACCTGGTGCTGACTTGTTTCATCAGGGTGGCAATTTTGGAATTCTGACTGTAGGTCACCTGATGAGCCCGCTCAAATGTCCTCAGGATTTCCAGAAGGCATCTGGAAGAAAATTCATTAGCTCCCAAAGAGGGCCTGGTATCCCCGCAAAAAGATCTAGGTATCCCTACCCACACCTAAGGGAAGACACAATTCCCATTTTTCAAATAAGTTTTGCTATTCCCTGCTGGAGGGAAGCGGGGGAAGAAGGAGGGAGAAAGAGCCCCTTTGATAAGAGCAGAAAGGGTCCTATTTTAAAAGAGGGCTGAAGTGGGAAAAACAAAAGCCAAGAAGAGGGTGGGCTTGAGCATTCTGAACCTGGGCCAGAGACTCTGGTAAGGGAAAGATGTCAAAGCAGAGCGGCCTCTAGCCTGCATGCATCTTGGAAGCTAGCCTCTGGATTCTGAACCTCCCACCTCCTCCCCCACGTCACCACTGCATGGATCTGATCCCCCAACGTGTCTGTTTCCTCCATACCTTTGAGAGACCGCAACACCCTGGTCCACAGTCTTATGGGCCGCGAGTAGCAGAGTTTCCAGCAGGATCTTGGTGGCACTCCCACCTTTCATCCGGGAGGAGCCACTGAGCCCCTCGGGCTAAGGAGGCAAAGATACTTAGAGGAACTGGGAGAAAGAGAACAACCCAGAAGTCTACCAGTTCAACAGTTCACGACCCCTGAGCACGGAGTGGTGTCGGTGACCACCAACATGGAATGTGATTGGTGACTCCCGGGTGTGAGTGTGGTTGGTGGTCCCCACAGGATGTGCATTCTGATCAGTGACCCCCGAGCCCATCTTTTCCTGGTGGCCTTGACTGTTTTATGAGAACGGGTGCTGGAGCGTGCTTAACGGGAGGAGACCAGAAGCAAAGGGCCACCTCTGGCCGTCTCTATGGTGGATCCAAGACTCAGGAGGAAGCCACAGTGAGTGTATCTCTGGGTCCAGCGTTTTCAGAGAATACTCTTCTTTCTGAGAACCTTCCCCACCCTGTTTTACGGCAGTTTGCCATTCCTCAGTGCCAAGTTCCCCATGCTTTGGACAGACACATGGAGCAGGCACTCGGGTGATTTGTAACACCGCACATCACAGAGATCGCAGCAGAGGGAACGGCGTGGCCAGTGATTAAGAGCAGAAGACTGGGGTTGGGGACTGAGCTCAGTGGTAGATCAAGAGGAAGGTCTCAGGGGTGCCCACCACTGACAAAGGGAGGTAGGGAGCAAAAGTTTTAGTTAAGAAAAAAGTCGGGGCCTGGAGAGATGGCTCAGTAGTTAAGAGCATTGACTGCTCTTCCAGGGTACCCGAGTTCAATTGCCAGCACCCACATGGTAGCTCACAACTGTCTGAAGCTATAGTTCCAGGAGACCTAACACCCGTGGCAAAAATACCAATGCACATAAAGAGGTAAAAATAAACAAATTTTAAAAAAGAAGAAGAAAAAAGAAAAAAGCCAGGCGATGGGCGGTGGTGGTGCACACCTTTAATCCCAGCACCTGGGAGGCAGAGGCAGGTGAATCTCTGTGAGCTCGAGGCCAGCCTGGTCTACAGAGTGAGATCCAGGACAGCCAGAGCTACACAGGGAAAACCCATCTGGAAAAAAACAAAAACAAAAACAAAACAAACAAAAGAATAAAACTGTGTGCAAGTTTTTAAATCCATATTTGACATTTGAAGCTGTAAAAGAGACTGAATGAGACTTAACAGTGAGTGGTTGGTTAGTGAAGGCTGCTGTCTATGCATAGATGGCAAAGGGCTCTTCTAGACTGTTCTAGACTCTAAATTATTCTAGCTCTTCTAGATTGTTCTAGACTCTAAACTGTCCTAGACTCTCTAAACTGTTCTAGCTCTTCTAGACTGTTGGACTCTCTAAACTGTTCTAGCTCTTCTAAACTGTTCTAGACTCTAAACGGTTCTAGCTCTTCTAGACTGTTCTAGACCCTAGAAGTGCCTACTGGTTACTGATAAGTAGGGTTGAAATAAAGATTTTTAAAAAAGCATTTTGAGGTAAAGAGAAAATAGGACTTCGTTGAAACCATGTGCATTGACATGAAATGCCTTGGGGATTTATGAACAGGGACTAGAAGATCAAAGGTTCCCAGTAAGTAGCAAGCAATTCCCACATGCCTGAAGAGGTGCATAGAGGAAAGAAAGTTGGGCCCTACCCCAATGGCAGGATTGAGCACAAAAGCTTCCTTTTTCTCTTGCATCTTCTGCATCCGCTCGGCTACTTGCCGGAATGTCGATCTCCAGTCTTCAATGGGGTCATTTCTGAGGTCCAGAAAAACACGTAAGAAAAAAGACTGCCTGTGAGACTCTGAAGGAAAGGCCTCGGCTAGTAGTGAGGGTCAGTGAGAGAGTGGGGTCAGAGGTCAACTACTTCACAGGGAAATATGCTTTGGAGCATTTGGGGTGGTGTGTCCCTGAACCCCAAGGATTGGGTTAATAACAACAACAACAACCAAAAGCCAGCAACAAAGCCAACATTCAAGTTTCAAGTTCTAGCTGGAAGCCAAATTCAAAACTACCACCTTGGGTTAGAGAGATGGCTCAGTGCTAAGAACACTGGCTGCTCTTCCAGAGGACCTGGGTTCAATTCTCAGCATCCACATGGTGGCTCACAACCATCTATAATGAGATCTGGTGCCCTCTTCTAGCCTGTAGGCATACATGCAGGCAGAACACTGTATTCACAATAATAAATCAATCTTGAAAAAAATTACCACCTCATATTCCATCTTAGACTCCTTTGAGACCCTTCCCTTTCTTGGAAATACATCTAAAAATCTCTCCAAGGAATGAACCCTTACTACCTGAGGGAGATTGTTGGTCCCTAATGAGGTATAAAGTTATGCTGTTAACTGCAGCATCTGTTGGTGAATATTCCACAATTGATGAATCAGGAACGAAGCAATGCATTAATGAGACAAGAGAGCTGGTGCAGTCTATGTGCTTAGCTACAAACTGGAATGTCAAAAAAAATTAGGGTCTTCTGAAGTGGGAGATAATTTGTGAATTCATCAGTGTGCCAGGACCTTAAAGACTGAGCTACCCCTGCACATGACATCCCTAACTGTCCCTTATCATCACATCCCTGACAAGATTTCATAATTTTTTGAACTATTTATTTTATTCTTTGCGTGTGTGTATGTGGTGTGTGTGTTCGTGTGTGTGTGTGTGTGTGTGTGTGTGTGTGTGTGTGTGTGTGTGTGTATGCACATGTGTGCGGCTCCATATGCACTTGTGTGTGGAGGTCAGAGGCCAACCCCAGCTATCTTCTCTTAATTACTCTCCATCTTATTTTTTGAGATACTAAACCTAGACTGACTGGCCAGCACGCCCAGGAATCCTCCTGCCTCTCCTTCCCCAGCACTGAGATTACAGGCCCATACCAGCCCCTTCTTGAACTCTTTTTTGGTTTTTCGAGACAGGGTTTCTCTGTGTAGCTTTGGAGCCTGTCCTAGAACTCACTCTGTAGACCAGGCTGGTCTTGAACTCACAGAGATCTGCCTGCCTCTCCTTCCCTAGACCCAAGGAGGGAACAGAAAAAGCACCAACATTGTGCAGTAAAAATTAGGATTCCCAGACTTCGCTGAACATCAACACCCCTGCTGTGGGATGTTCTGTATGTCCTGTGGGAGCCCGTTCTTGGGTTCCTCGTGGCTTTACCCAGCAGGTCCGCATAGAGGATGATTAGGACCACGGGCCTGAGTGCAGGTGTCTGAGATGGTCTGCACTTGGCTGTGCTGTGGGACGGTCTGTATGTCAAGTTGCTCTGATTGGTCAATAAATAAAACCTGATTGGCCTGTGGCTAAGCAGGAAGTATAGGCGGGACTAACAGAGAGGAGAAATAAAAGAACAGGAAGGTAGAAAGAGTCACTGCCAGCCGCCACCCTGACAAACAGCATGTAAAGTATCAGTAAGCCATGAGGCAAGGTATAGATTTATGGAAATGGATTAATTTAAGCTATAAGAACAGTTAGTAAGAAGCCTGCCACAGCCATACAGTTTGTAAGCAAAATAAGTCTCTGTGTTTACTTGGTTGGGTCTGAGCTGCTGTGGGACTGGCGGGTGACAAAGATTTGTCCTGACTGTGGACAAGGCAGGAAAACTCTAGTTACAAACCTCCCCCCCCCCGGGGGGGGGGGGGAGGGGTTCTGTTTTGCAGTAACCATCCAGTTCTGGATACCACATCTCCCCTGAGGCTGGCCTCAGCAGGCATGCACAGAGCCCTAAACTGTATTTTTTTTTTTTTTTTTTTTTTTTTGGTTTTTCGAGACAGGGTTTCTCTGCGTAGCTTTGCGCCTTTCCTGGAGCTCACTTGGTAGCCCAGGCTGGCCTCGAACTCACAGAGATCCGCCTGGCTCTGCCTCCCAAGTGCTGGGATTAAAGGCGTGCGCCACCACCGCCCGGCCCTAAACTGTATTTTTATAGAGCTTCCGAGACAGTTCTGAAGATGAGCCAAAACAGGGAGCCACCGCTTTAAGGAACAACTGGAAGGTCTCCACGCCTACATTGTTTGAAATTCTTCATTTCACTTAGTCACAGGGCCTGAAATTAGCACCCGCTGCTGCAGATATATTTTGGGTGAAGAAGCGTCCTCCACGAAAGGATCAGGGTTAAGAGTATCACAGATTCATTTACACCTTAGTATGAGTTACACTACAAGCCTGGAATCTGGGACTTGGAGGAGAACTTCCAAAAGAACCAGGCTCTCTCACTGCAGTCCCTCATGGACAGGAAGCCCTCAGTGCCATAGGGTGATCCGACCCAATGGCTTATTTAGCAGGGTTCCCCCAACGTGGCTCTGCATTAGAATCAATCGCCAAGGATGCTTTAACAAAATAGACATTTCATGGCCTTACCCCAAATCGATAAAGAACGACACCTGCACAGTATTAGCCAGTGACATGGAGTGTTAGGTCAGACCAAGTGGCCGTTTGGATGGGGCAGCTTGGGCTACATAGCAAGACCTTGTCCCTCTCCTCCCAAGAAGGTGTGGTTCCGTAACACAGGGCTTCAAGAGGGAGGAGGGGCAGATGTGAGCAGCCAAAGAGGAGCCAAAGGGGTCCTGGGATAATGAAAGAAAGAGCAAGAAAGAAGATGGAAAGAGGAGTGGGTGGCCACTTGGGACCACTGCTACTCTGAGAAGACGCTTGGGGGTCACCCCAGATAAAAGCATAGACTTTTGGGGTATACCCTTTCCTGATCCTGCTTTTTCCTTCTAGTTCTTATCTTTTTACTTCCCTTCCTGCTTTGAATTTGTTTTATGTACCTTTTGTTTTTGTTTGCTTGTTTTTTTCGATACATGAGTTTCTCTGTGTAGCCCTGGCTGTCCTGGAACTGTCCTGGCTGTCCTCTGTAAACCAGGCCAGCCTCGAACTCACAGATCCGCCTGCCTCTGCCTCCCGAGTGCTGGGATTAAAGGCATGTGCCACCACCGCCTGGCTTATGTGGCTTTTGTAAACTGCCTTCCACCCTTCCTGAAACAAGGAGGGACCACTGGAAATGAAGCGACCGATAAAAACTTCAGAAGTTTCGGGGCCAGCCCCTATTTATTTTGACATTCTGAGGCTTGGCAAGCAAGATTGTAGATCCATCTGCCGCCTCCCGCTGATCACACTGTGGACTTTGACATGTCCCTTTCCCGGGCTCCCCCAAGGCCCGGCCAGTCCCAACGGAAGCCTCACCTGGCCATGCTCACCGGGTTGAAGCCAACCAGGACTGGCAAGAAGACGGCTGTATTATCCATGCAGTAGTCCATCTGGCCTGCCACAAAGGGGGCCTGGCGGGAGCAAGAGAGGAAGACACATTAAAGAGGCCACTCCGTCTTCCCCAAGGTCCGCATGGCACCTGCCCCGGCACGCTTGCTAGAAGTACAGATGCCGCAGTCAAGTTAAGACTTGAGCCCAAATTTTATGTAGGGGAGCCTACTTCTTACAAGGACCCCAAAGGTAGCAGATCTACTTTTTCTTTTTTGGGTTTGTTTGTTTGTTTGTTTGTTTGTTTTAGTTTTTCGAGACAGGGTTTCTCTGTGTAGTTTTGGTGCCTGTCCTGGATCTGGCTTTATAGACTAGGCTGGCCCTGAACTCACAGAGATCCACCTGGCTCTGCCTCCCCAGTGCTGGGGTTAAAGGCATGCACCACCACCGCCCGGCCAGATCTACTTTTTCTCTGAGCTATGATTTCCTTGTACAGTTGATGCTGGCCTTGAACACACAGCCATCCTTCTGCCTCTCCCTCCTGAGTGCTCCAATTACAGGCAAAAGTCACCCAGCTAGCGCTGCATTTTTCTTATGTTCCTCTGCGGAAATCCTCCAAATGATGAAGCTGGGAAACTGCCGATCACAACTGTAACTGAAATGACCTCCTTGAGGCCAATGTCCTCCTCTTCCTCATCATACACCTGCTGAGATCTAATGCTCTGCACCCTGAACTCTTAGAATCAAAACTGTTGTGGGGTTGACAGGAAACCTCATCCAGTGGTTCGCATACAAACATCCTGAGAATCTTGTTAAAACGCAGATTGACCCGCTGGAGCCTGAGATCCAGTATTCCTAACAAGTCCCCGTGGATGCTGATGTTGCCGGTGGGGATGGAAGCCAGGGGCCAGACTCTTCTGTGAAGAGCCAGAGATTAATTAATACTGCAGGCTTTGTGGGCCCTGTGATCTCTGTCCAACAACTTAAGCCTAGCACAAAGGAGGCCATGAAGTCTAAGTAAACACAAAGACTGCACGCCAGTAAAAACGGTCCACAAGTTCAAGCAGCTGGCTACAAGGACTGCCGGCATAGCTTGCTGACCCCTGGACTAGTCGGTCCATCTTGGCTGGTGATGAATCAATGCACAGTTATTCTGAGATGGAGTTGCCTCCCCCTCTTTTCATATCCATGAAAAAAAACAGATCGAAGTTGGTGAAAATTAAAATAAAATTCCTTGTGTTGGTTTTCTATTTCCTAGCACCCGGCCCATCAATCCACCTTCCATGCCGTACTAGCCCCACCCCCTTCCTCTTGTCAAATGGCCCCATCAGCCCGCCCTCACACTTACGGAGAGTCCCACAGAAATTCCTATGACAATCACTCTCCTCTTCCCAGCAGTCACCTGGGAATGGAGGAGGTGTGAGTTAGGGTGCCCGGGAGCAGGGCGGTCTCCTGGAGGGGGGTTGGTCAGGGTGACAGGGAGGTCACCAGGGTACAAATCTACTGTGTGAGAAAATCAGGACCAGAGTAGGGGCCAGGCCTTGGCTGGGGTTGGCCTTTTCTAACCCTATGAAAAGGAACCTACAGGTGTCTCTAGTTGAGTAGTATTGGAAAACACAGACCTTCTTCAGCTCCTCGATCCCGTGAAGGGCGCTATCTTCTGTTCGTTCCCGAGAGGCCACAACAGACCTAAGGGTGCACACTCAATCAGGTTGTTGGCACTGGCTAAGAAGCAGAACCTAGAGTTTATTAGGAAAGGGCACATTGAAAGAACGGAATGGGGGGAAGCTGTCATTGAATGGGCACCTCCTGTTTAGCGCAGACCAAGGTAGATACACCACAGAGTTTTTGAAAAAAAAAAAAAAAAAAAAAAAAAAAAAAAAAAAAAAAAAAAAAAAAAAAAACACTCAAATACCTACAAGGCCAGGTAGGCAATAAAAGTCTGTGAAGGACCAGATAGAAGACTATGCAGAATGGTGGAGACTGAGGTTCAATATAATCTTTGACTAAAGTCATTCAAATTCAGTTTCAAAAAAAAAAAAATGTTCGGGCCACATGCACAGGTCAAGGTAACTTACCTGTCACCTCCTGCAATGAGGTATGTGTACAGAGGCTTTTGTCCAAGACCTTTCATCAACTGGTTGAAAGAGACCTGTCCAGGAGGAGAGGGTACTAAGAGGGAACGATAAAGACGATGTAATGTGGATTCTCAATTTCTAGAGGATTGAGGATGCAGAATGGTCTTTTAGACCAATAGTTAACTCTAACTTCTTTGTCATCTCCCACTTAAAGATGCAACTTGGGGATGATCGGTTAGCGATGCGTGAGATGTGGGGAGATTAACAAGAGGAAGGTAGCACTCCAGTGGGGTCAGAGAAATCAGACTCTCTCCTGGGCTCCTATCCTTTGGAAAGGAGGTGGGGAGAGAATGTGTCTATTGAGAGAATTTACCTCTGGCGAGCTTTGTGGTTCTGGGTGACACCCCAGAAGGAAGAGAGAAAACAGGGAATGAGCGTACTCACAGACATGAGGAATGCCATCCGGCCAGAGGTTCCTCCCCCACTTAGCACGACCAGGCCTCCATCAGGCTCCTGTGGAAGGAGAGAAGCCTGGGTCACCAGGGTCCAGCTCAGGGGAGAAGCATACTTGTTGTTTTCCTTTGTCAGCAATGGAGGAAGACTTAGAACTACTTATTCTTCCCGTCATCATAAAATTGAGTAGAACATAGGCTGTGTGAGGTAGCAAACAAGAACAATGATTTGGAGAAAGAAATCCTCCTGGCTGTCCTCCCTGACTAAGCTATTCATTAAAATTCCTACTTATTCCAGCAGGGACTTGGGAGCAGCTTTGTCAATTAAATACAAATAAATACTCAAAGCAGAAGCACCCAGCAATTATCAGCTGGATACATCTGAGCAAGCTACTGGGATCCCCCTTTCTTTGTTTTCTGGTCTGGAAAGAGAAAAAAAAAAAGACAATAATAGCAACTTCACAGGTTTCTGTGAAGGTAGTGAGTGTGAAGGTTCATGGCTGGGGCCAGAGAGATGGCTCAGCGATTAAGACACTGGCTGCCCTTCGAGAGGAACCAGGTTTGATTGTCCACACCCACATGGCAGCTCACAACCATCTGTCACTCCAGTTCCTGATGATCCAACACCTTTTTCTGCTCTCCATGGGGACCAGGCACTCATGTAGTACACAGACATACATGCAGGCAAAACAACCATACATGTTAAAAAAATAATAATAATTTTTAAAAGAAAATGTTAAGTTGGGCAGTGGTAGTGCATGTCTTTAATCCCAGCACTCGGGAGGCAGAGGCAATCAGATCTCTGTGAGTTCAAGGCCAGCCTGAGCTACTGAGTGAGTTCCAGGACAGCCAGGGCTACACAGAGAAACTCTGTCTTGAAAAACCAAACTAAAACCAAACAAAACAAAATTAGAAAATGTACTGCTGATGATAGAGTATTATTTATCTAGTAATTATCATAAGTATTATGATGACCAAGATAACAGTAAATATCCAAAGGGAAGAGCAAGATAATAAAGAGTTGAGATTTATAAAAATGAGAGCTGGAGACCCAAGAAAGAAGGACATTATAGGGAACAAACACGTTTGGATGAGAAGCAGGTGGAGAGCTCGCACCTTCAAGACTTCCTGGACTTTCCCAGCTACTTGCAACATGGTGCTCAGAACGGCCTCGCTGTACAGCCGCTGTAGAGAGTGGACAGGAATCAGTAGGAAGAAACGGAGGAGGAGGCATTGGGATGGCTCATTGGGTAAGGGGATTGCCGCAAAGCAGGGATCTGAGTTCGATCCCTGGAACCCTCATGATGAAAGAACAGACTGATTCCCAAAAGTTGTCCTCTGACCTCCATACATTTCCCCATGGAATAAATCCCCCCACCATATACATAAATACATGGGAAAAGGGGGGGAATGAGGAGAAAAGGGAAGAAATGGAAGATGGTGGATTGGGATGGAGGAGAGGGCCTAGGATTTCCAAAATCAGGAGTCATAGTCTGGGAGGGTAGAGGTTGAGATGTGGTTGGCTTGGCATCTCTTCTGCAGTGTCCGAGGCTTGACTCTGGGTCACCTGGTAGGTGGGCATGATCTGCCCCTCCTCCTGGAAGATCTCAGCATCACACTGCCCCAGCAGCTGAACGATTTTCTCTGCGTCTGCTTTGTCCAAGTTCCGGGTCAGTGGGTTGGACTTCTCTGTGATTGGCACAGCCACTTCATACCCTGACAACTAGACAGAAGGGGGGCAAGGGCAGGAACAGGAAGCCAAAGTCTGTTTTCTGCCTGCTGGACTGGAGGTGGGAGTGGAAGCAGGCACACACACACACACACACACACACACACACACACACACACGGTCATATATCAAGAACTTAGTCTTCATGTGATGTTCCGAGTCTATTAGGGACGGAGGATCACAAGGGAAGACAAGGAAAAGATGCTTATGACGGGTGTGTGCCTTCCATCCCAGCATTTGGAACGTGGCAGCAGGGGAATCAGGAGTTCAAGGCTTTCCTCAGATAGGCAGCACGTTTGAGGCCAGCCTGGGCTAGACCCTGTCTCAAAAGCCAAAAGAAGAAGAGGAGGAGGAGGAAGAGGCAGGAAACAGAAGCTTAGGGCTGAGGCCAGTCCAAATTTGAAACTATTCTAGGAATCAGGGTAGAGGGCTGAAATTGAGAAAGGGCCTCACCTCCCATTCGCCAGGCTCAGGGGTCTCGATCACATGCTGATATCGTTTTGTGCCTGGCATGGTCCCACACTGTGGACACTCTGTCCTGCCTGCCTCTGCAGTCACACAAACTCCCCTGGTGACAATAACTTTGCTTCCAGCTGGCAGGGTCTTATCTGAGAGCCATGGAGATGATTAACCCTGTGTCTCTAAGCCCCGCCCCCCACACCCCTCTCTTCCCCACCCTTTCCTGTCCCTAGCTTCCCAGCCCTCCATGGGTGCGCCTGAGGGTGCTCTTCACACAGCCTCTGTCTCCACAGCCTCTGCTTTGCTCTCGAAGAAGAGGAGAGGGTCATTGCTCTTGCCCTTCATGCACAGTGCCCTCTGGAAGGCTGGGAGCCTGGATGTGCAGAACAACACCCAGGTCAGAAAGAATCCCTGATCAAGAGAGCTCCGGAGCCCAAATGCCTCTGAAGGCCAGAGATCAGGGTCAGAGGAGTCAGAGGACCTGGGCCATGGCTTGATCACGTGTCAGCCTGCAGTCTTTCCCTGCCCCACTGGCCCATTTTATCCTCTCCTCTCAGAAAGAAAAGCATCAGAAGCTGCTGGGCCCCGGGTGTCCCTACACCGAACTGGATACCACAGAGGAACAGTCACAGAAATAGAAATACCGTCAGAAGAATGAGGACCGAAGAGGAACCTGCCCTAAATACAGCCAGTATCTTTCTCCTGTAGATGGTAGGTGTCACTGGATCCCCAGACACTTAGAAGTCATTGTTGACAGCCTGGCTTTTAGATGAGGAAACAGGCTCGGAGAAGTGGTCTGTTATTTAGTATCACACAGATTTCATACTCAGCTAAAATATGGAATCATTTAAGGACTTCCATGTTTCCTGAATGAATTTTGCAACAACTAACAAGTTGGTGCAAATTAATAACACTCTTCCTTCCATACAGTAGCGGAAGGTTTCTAAAGAACCTTGTCCAGTGTGTCCATTTGATAGTCTAACAACTGTTCCAGGTTTCTATGCTTCACAGGTGGGAAACCTGAGGCGCAGGTTAATGGACTTCTCTAAAACAAATGAGTTAGACACACACACACACACACACACACACACACACACACACACACACACACA